GTCTGTGTATATATATATATATTGTGTGTGTGTGTGTGTGTGTGTGTGTGTGTGTGTGTGTGTATATATATATATACAGCCACACACATGTATACATATATAAATACAATTATGAGGGCTTCTGAAAGAAAAGAGAAAGCTCTTTCTAAAAAAGTTGAAACATAATTCATATTTTTATATACAAGAATACAACAGGATTTATCTTAGCTCCACATCTCAGCTCTGTTTTAATACAGTACCATAGGTGTGGTACTGTATTAAACAGGAACTAGTGACTTGTGGCGGGCCTGGAATTTCAGTGTCTGAAAAATGAAAGTGGAGGGTCAGGAATTAAGCTAAACAAATGTGCTGAATGCCTCTGTTACTGTGATTATTTGGGTCATTCAGCACCTATTTCAGTATTTGTTAGAACTGTGATTAACCCAAGATATTTGAATCAGGTTTGCTGACATGATAGGATACACTATTTGCTCTAGTCTACAACTCACAGTCGATTGTGGTGAACACCTTATCAGTACCTCTTTACAGTAACGTGAGCATGACAAATGTGAAGCCCCCTAGAAGGAAGTCACTGCTGATCAAGATTGAGGTGAATTTTCAGGGCAGTGAAAGGATACTTGCACTGTACCTCTTTTGTACATCGAAGACTTCACAGGCTCCAGGGCTGTCTGCCATAACTTTCTAAAGCACTGAGGGTATGTCTACACAACAAAGAAAACCCCACGGCTGGCCCATGCCAGCCAAATTGGGCTCATGGAGCTCGGGCTGCAGGGCTGTTTCACTGCTGTGTAGACTTCCGGGCTTGGCTGGAGCGTGGCCTCTAGGACCCTGTGGGGTGGGAAAGTCCCAAAGCTTGTACTTTAAAAATGATATTGTGCGTTTTGGATTTTTTCATATTGAATTCATTCTTCATTTGAGAAGCATTATGTTTGCAAATTGAAAGAGACTGTAATTGGTCTATAATAAACTGAAGTCATGGTTTAAAAAATGTGAAACACAATGACTCTTTGTTTACTTTATAGAACACTTTACCTGCATTGTAAAGGTGCTGTTTACATTATTGTATACCCAAGCCCTGGCAGCATTTTCTGTAAAATGCAGCGCTGAAGACAGGGTGGCATGGAAGAACTCAGGAGCTCTGAAAAAGGTTGGTCAGTTTACTAAAAGCTATATATTGATAAGATTGTTTATTAAATTTATGAAGCATTTATTAGTATATTATATCACTTCAATGGTGAACTTAATGTAGAATAGATGTGGCTTAGCATCATGAGAATTTCATCTCTGGTTCAACTACTGTGCAAGTAACAAGTGAATCAGATTTGTTTCATTTTAGCTTAATCTCAGTGGACTGTACTACACATTTTGGCATAAGTAATTATCTTCGTAATATATCAAAGTTCTAATATTGTTATACTATAGATTTGCAGAGTTGTGCTTAAAAGCTTACATACTGCCTCTATATCTAGTGATGTAAGTCCCTCACTGACAGGAGCACTAAAATCTACATAAGTGCTAATAAAAATATTTCAAATAGTATTTTAATTTTACACCTTAGTCCTGCTTTGCATTTTTTTAAAAATCCATGTATGGATTGGTTTACTACATTTTTGGTTAATATATGATGGTGTCAATATGTTGTTGCCAGGATAGGCAAATTTTTAAGGTGACCTGTCCAAAGTCAACTTCGTTCTCAAAATTGGTTATTGGAAATTGTTAATTAACTGTTGGAACAGAAAGAAAATTCTTCATTAGGTCCAACCATGGTACGAATGGTCATTCCCCCAGTGCAGAAGATTCCGTTCGTGAGAAGCAGAAGAATAAAGTCCTGCCTATTCTTTTCTGTGTGTGTAATTTTGTGTGTTTGAATGATAGTGGAAATCAGATAAAGACACTTACATGAAGAGGTTTTGGAAGTTTCACAGTGTGCCATTGATAAAGAACTGATTGATAGACTGAGAATAAGATTTTTTTTTAAATTGATTCTTTAGCTAGTTATAATGGAATAGAATAGAATATTCCTCTCACTGTAAAATTGAAGTCCTGTTAGATGGGCCAGATATCAGTCTAATATACTCATTTCAGTAAATAAAAAAGCAAGTTGTCTGCAAAGAAAATATGGAATTTTCTAGTTTTGTTCATATTTCTTAATCACTAGCCATGTGCAATCCCCTCAAAATACAATATGTGATGCACAACTGACTAAGGAACCAGAGGAGGAATTTAGCAATATTGTGGGCCAGGCAGGTAATCCTCCCTCCTGCCATTGGTAGTATTTAAGAGGAAACTGAGATACCTGGCCTCCTTTTCCCATGTAATCACAAATTGGCCATGCTTGTCAGCACATACACCTACAGTTTTTAAGTGCAAGTTGGTAGTTTGTCCAGAGGGGGCTAAGTAATGAAATTTAGTTTTGTCTGTATGTGCTATTTGGTGTTTGAGGCTACTGTGCAATGGGATGGATGCTGCATTATTGTTAAATAAATGTTTTTCCATAGGATACTGTCATAAGAGTTCAATTTCAAACCCACAATTTTAGCATGAGATCTGTGCACTTTTTTGTTTATCTAAATGAGACCTAAGTGACAGACAGTTTTACAGGTGTAAATCTGTGACACAGAGTGCTTGAAAGCGCTGCCAGTTTATATTCTTTCGCAATCAATTTGATAAATGTAGGCAGCTTTTATTTATCCTTCATAAAATGCTAGTAGAATGGGTCAAGTTTTATCTGAATATACATTTTAAATGTTTCAACAGCTAGCCACAATGAAATATTTTATTGTATGAAAATAGAGAATGATGGCATACTGTAGTCAGGTTTGCTACATGCTAAGACTTTTTCTCTCTAGCAGAATAATAGCTTTTTTTGCACATAAGGCAGTTTGTGCCTTAGGGTTGCAAATTATGTTCATGGATCAGCAAATGGATTTATGAAGTAGCAGAGTTTTTTTCATCTTAAAGGCACTCAGAATCACAAGTGGTGAAACCTCTTGACATATGTAGCTAAATATGCATTGGTAGCATATTTTTGTATTCTAGGAAGAAAAACTGGCATTTTCATTGGCATGGCTGTCGCTGACAGATGTTAACATTGTTATGTGGGTAGTAGTTTTACATTATATGACACCCTGTTGTTGAAGGCTGTTCGTGGTTTGTGTAGGTAAATCAAAGTGAATGGTAACTGAAAGTCTGTCAATTCAAGAAGGTTGACATATCCTCCCCCACCCCCCGGTACAGAGAGCCCACTGACGGCTTCATACGCCATTTTAGGTAAAGCGTGAGAGAGGCAGAGAACTACCCACTGGACACAGAATCCAACCTGCACCCTTCAGCAGACATAGTCCAATAGTGGCAATTGAAGCATCCCTGGTAGCTCCTGACAGCAGCCTGCCTTCTCTGCCTGTTTCTGGCGGATGCCTTAGTACAGCTGGCATGTGTACAGGGATACAGGTTCAGGTAGTAGCTCAATGTCAAGTTAGTTTTCTTTATTCCTTTTCGTACTCAGATCAGCCATGAGATTACCTGAAACCCAGCCCAGTGAAGCCCTAATCACTCTGCAAGCTGTATGTAGCCTTTTGGTGACTGGAGGAATAAGGAAGAAGTAGTAGTGAGGAGGGAGCAAAAGAAAAAAGATTTTGAGAGAAAGACCAGGGTTAAGAATAGATGGAAATAATAGATAAGAGTGTAAATGGGCAGAAGAAAGGACATATAGTGGTACTGAGCGTCGTGGAGAGATGGAACACGGGGTGAAAAGAGAAACATCTCTTTACCAAATCATTACAAGAGGAGCCTCCAACAAAAAAGATTGGAGACCATTGGCTTAGAGCTAAGGGCCTAAATGCGGAAAAGGGATTTGGCCTGGCCCCTGCGGTGAATTTCACCCTCAGTGAGGAGTTTAAACTCACAGAAAGAGAGGATTAACCTTGTTGTACATTAGGGAAATGAATGTCAGTTTTTATACAGCATTGTATGGTAGAGCTTATATATATTACAGCCCACTTCATTTGTTTTGGTATTTTTAAAAAATAATCGTCCTGGTAACATTTTGTCTTTTTCTGTTGATCATGTTTATACTTTTCTCACATGAACTAAAGTTTGTATCTAATATTGTTTCTTCTTGTGGGTATTTTTGTGTAATTTCAAGGAAGACATTTATGGAAATATGCTGCTTATTTCTCATGAGTTTCTGTAATTATTAGCTTTCTTGACACATAATTATTATGACACAAAGCTAAGTGGCTGATTAAAAAAATAAATTCCACTGAACAATTTTTCCCTGTCTGTATAAATGTTACCCATTCTCTACATAGCATTAAATTTTTGATAGCTTCTTTCTCATTCAGTATATTTAAATTGCAAGCCTTTCTTGGTTCAGTTTAATTAATGCATTATAGCAAATTACAGTCTCAAAACTGCCACTTAACCTCACTGTATATGCTAAATATATTCCATCTGAATTGTATTTGGTTTTGGTAGCTTTTCACTATCCAAATATTGTTTCAATTTCTACATCCTGTGTATTGTTATGCAGTATGTATTGGTGCTTAAAACATCACCCTTCCAATATCATATGTACCTCTTCTCTTTGAGTCAGAATGTGTGTGTTGCTTTAAAGGAAATATATTTCACCTTTGCAGCCTCTATAGAAACAATTTTCTCCTTATTTTGTATGACTGATGCAATTTGAGTCTGCCTTTTTCTTTATTCACAGAATACATCCAATGGAGAAAAGTCTTGGGAAGCATTACTGAGTCATGTGATTTCTGAGCTCTCTAAAGGGAAGATGTTTGAGGAAGGAGAAACTGAAGAATTAGCAATGGTATTTTTTTACAGTTTTGTTTAGGAAATTTTAACAGGTTTACAAATCATTACCATGTAAATAGAAACAAAATGAGCTTTTGTTTGTTTTGGAAATATTATGCAGTTATATAGTCATTAAATCTTTGTTTCGCAGGGTGCTAACAAATTACACTGAGCCTCTTTAGACCACTCATGATGTGTTATTTCTGGTGATTTTATTAAATTGAATGAAACTACTGACTCGATCAAACCAGGCATGTCTATAAATGTTAATAATCAAATATTGGACATGTGTGCTTTTTTTTTTCCTTCAGAGAATGTATTTTGTCTGAATAGTGAATTGAATGGTAAAAAAAAAAATCTAAGCATCTATTGTCGTCTGTCTATTTTGCTAGGTGCCTAGTTGATGTGTTAATTTTTCCATAACATCTACCACTCGTATTTTTTTTAATCATTCCTCTAGTGTTGAACTATTTTTCTTTTTCCAGTGGGAGGTTATTAGTAATCTAGTGGCTAGTAGCAGATGATATTAATTTGGGTGTGACCACTTCTGCTAGGAAGCCCCAGGAGGATTACCAAAGGATCCTTTGGTAATAAATATTCAGCAATTTGTAATATTTGGTTACAAATCACGTCCCCATATTCTCTAATGACTGGACATGTCCACCATATGCATAAAATCTCTCACTATAGTTTTTTCAATATTTATCTCCATTCAATCTATATACATATTTTAATCTGACTGGCATGAGAACCATTGAAATGGTATCTTGAAGATACTTTCTTTTTTTGTGTTACAGACTGATAAAGGTCCTCTTTTTCAGATCAAAGCCCATTCCTCTGGGGAAATTTGTCTAGCCAAATCCTTTTCCCACCATGTCCTATATGGACATTTTTTGTTCGGGAAGTTGTCTGAAAAGATTGAAATTAAATTAGTTATTTTTTTTTGTTTCTTAACTGACCAGAAGCCTTTTATACATAAAGCCAACTTTAACAAAACAGCTTTTTGAGAGAGAAAATGCCTAACTGGAAGGTGCTATATCCAAGATTTGTTTGTAACAAAATCATTTGAGATTATTAGTGAACTGTTAGCCTTTGGAATGTAGAATTTGGAAAGCAGAATTTAATAACCTCTCTTTCCACTCTAGGTTAGCTCTAGTGTTTGGTCTCCTGAGTCAATAGAGTGTTATCTGCAGCAGTTCTGCCTGCCTTTCCTCAGGATCACCTGCCTTCTTCAACATCATCTTTTTGGAGGGGATTTACCCAGTTGTCAGGTACAAGGGAGGGTGGCGGGAAATGACACTGTTTTTTTTCTGTTGAAAGTTTTATATAATATAATTGAAACATGTATTACTCCACCCCCAAATGAGAAAAGGGCCAACATTTTTGTATTATTTAGAGCAGATATTTGTTTAGCTGTAACATTGCTTCATGTCTGACACCGTGAAAGACTTCAGATACACTGTAAGAATCTAGATGTTTTACTATATTTCACATATTTTTGTAGAAAGTGTCATGGCAAGAAGAACTGCTAACTTTGCAATATAATATGTGCCAGATACTTCCTCCTTTTCATTTTCATAACTCCCAGAGAAGCCCACAGGAGGTTATGTGACAGAAGGGTTTCAGAATTGGCTCTTTTGCATGGAAAAGACAAAATATAGAGTGAAATCACTGGCCGTGGTGTAACTTTATTTTGTGTACATTTATGCTAAAAATTAACCCAACTCCCTCCCTAGAATGTTTATTCTTAACCGCCACAGAATTTTCTTCTTTGTGCAAGTAACGTTAAAAACAATTCCGTCAAGAATTAAGAGATACTGTATTTGAATATGCTAGCCCAGGCCACTTTAATTCTGGCATTTCCTAACTTTTGAGTGTTTAACTTTGCAACCTTAATAAAGTTATTTTATTTTGTGAGTGGGTGGATGGGTGTGTGTGTGTGTGTGTGTGTGTGTGTGTGTGTGTGTAGTAAATAAAC